TTGTATTTAATTTTGTATTGTAGATACATTTTTAAAAGCAGCTGTTGTTAACGCATAAATACGTATATTTAATATAACACTTTTTATTGAATGTTAAACAAATATATTAAGGACAACATATAGTATGTTGTTACTTGTTAACGCATACAATGTATATTTAATGTAACACTATTTATTGAATGTTGAACAAATACATTAAGGACGACAACATTAAAATTGTTAACTGTAATCCAGTCGAGTCATTGTTTTGTGAAAATAACTTTTTATACATTTCTTAGTCAGTGTTTCATTTTTCGTTTTTAATGATTATTAGTTATTACAAACAAAACAAAAATGGTTAAATTTAAATGCGATACTTCCATAGTAGGTACAATAGAATACAATAACATGTTGACGTCACCAACCCGTAGAATTAAAATTAAACGTTTTTTTTTAGTGCCAAAATAAAACCGTTTTACTAGTTTTAAAACTAATTTCCTTTTGTGTATAATCGTATGGGTACGTTTTCAGAAATAATTTACAAAACATTAACCCTTGTCTAATCTAAAACGTTTTACATCATTTTCCATGTACGTGATATAACGCATAATATATTAAATTGCATTTATTTATTTTTTTAATTAAATGAACTCACTTCATACCGTTAATTTGTTTACTGTGCTTATTGTTTCCTATTAAAATAATACGTATTAGAATATTATAAGTATAATCATATACTGACATAGAATTTAATTTACAATCTAGTCGTCTTTGGTCGAAGGCCAAGAATTTTTTTTTAATTTTATTTGACCTAGCAGCCTACTAGACTTCATGTTGTTTAAGCATACTTTAATTATCACAATAGTTATAATAGTTATAATCAATAATATTACTTAAATTCAATCGGTTAAGCGAATGATAGACATATTTTCTGTTATTATATTATGAATCGCAATACCATTTTTCGGTTTTACTTAAAATTATATAATATTATACAAATTTAATACAACAATATTGTTTTATCTTTTGTACTTATAGTTCTGTTATACCTAATTGTAGAACAACACAAAAAAAATATGCTAATTTTATTCCATTTTATTATTTGTGGATACATAATAAAATAAAACATGCATCTAACGTATAGCTAAAAAGTAAAATTTAAAAAACTATGTTTTTATTTAAAGTATGATTTAATTTGTTTTGTCGAGAATTAAGAAATTAAATTAATAAATTGCATCATTTTAATTATTGCAATCCGATTTGCAAAAAACAGTGCGAATTTAAACGTTTCTAAGAATCATACTGTATTACGAATCAAAGCTAACTAATATTATAATATTAATACAATAATTGGTATTGACAAAATTTAATAAGAAAAACAAATAGTATTTTTTTTACTACCTATTGGCTATTAAATAATATAATAAATTAGTCACGCGTAGTCTTCGTACATTTTTTCGTAAATCAAGGTTGCCAAGTCATAGTTTTAAGCTAATTTTTTAGAATGAAAAAACATTTTGTAGTTTTTACTTTTTAAATTATTTTTATTTAAATTATTTTACAATATTATATAACTAGCAAATATTAAACTTCTTTTTATTATTATCTACAGCTCCATATGCGAAATTACACAAGAACCTCAGTTTCTAGCACTTAGTTTAATGATGATGGCAATGATAAAATATTAAAAATGATGGTGACATTAAAATTTGTGGGGAAATTAAAAAAGAATTAAGGGTCTCATTTTAGGCCAAAGCGAACCAATGAGCGTATATTATAAATATATATATATGTGTATATACAGGGTGTATACTGCATATTCATTAAAAATAAGATACTATTTTTTTTTAGAAAAGTAAATATTAAATGTTGTATCTTTTTTTGGAGGGTAATTCTATTCGCGTTGGGAAAGTTTTGTTTTTAAAAATAAATGAACTAGTGACTTCATCAAAGTTAAAAACTAAAATCTAAATCAAGTAACTGTCCTGTGGTTAAAAACATTTAAACAAAATTAAGAAAAAAATCAGTTTTGTAAAAATAATACATTGTTTTTCGATAGCCTGGCAACTATAATAAATTATAATCTACGGTAATCCAGTATAATCTGGTCGGTGTTAAAGTGTTCAAATAAAACAGAATAGCCTCAACAATATCTCAATAAAATTGCCATTGAAATACTGTTACGGTTTTACTATAAATCCTATTAGACGTTTATTAAATAATATGTGCGTTTTTTTTTTTACACTGTCCTTAATCGTTTCTCGGTTTTTAATCTGAGCTGACCGATTATTCTACTGGTGCTGATGTTAAAGTTAAAAAATACTAGTGTTTGACGTCATTTTGAGTGACACTCGAAATTGTTGTTACAGATAATTTGTTATTATAGTGATAAAGAATAATTGCGAATAATAAAAAAAAAAGAAGATATTATCTATTAACCCGTTGAGACATGTTATTATGTCAATTAGCATTAACCGCAACAGTACGTTAACGAGGACGACTCAGACGTGTGCTTTTTGCTTGGAAAAATCGAGTTGTGTACAATTATTGTACCTAATCCTTGGGCGGCTTAAGTATTTATAAAGAACAGCTCGACTCCAATTTGATCATATGAATATGAGTAAAACAAAATAATAAGCCTACGACTAGGATTACCGACAAAGTTTACTATTATATTGGTCGGATTTCGCCATTTCACATTAATACGAGCCGATACTTGCAATCTAAAAAACTAATAGCTTTGGCGATACAGATTATGAGTGACAGCTGACACCTAGAAACATTTAATATTTTTAAAGGGTTAGAAGTAGTCAGCGGGGTAAAAAAATGAGTACTTCAAATCATTTTTTTTTGGCAGTAGTTTAATTTATTTTATAAAACAAATACTACAAAGTTATTATATTATATTTTAACTTTATTTGACAAGAATTGACGGGGTCAAGTGCTTGATCAAAGCTTTTTTTTTCAATTTCCAATTTTTTTAAAGAAAAAAAGCACTAGTTAATAAAAAAAAATCCTTCGATCAGGCACTAGTTTTTTATACTTTCAATGAGCTGTATAAATTTCATTAAAATCTGTCAAGTGGTTTTTGAATTACAGTGGTAACTGACTTTGAAAACATAGTTTCGAGAAAAACTTATTTAGCTTTATATACTTGATTTATGTATAGAAATATACAATTATTTAATTACTTACATCGAGTCATCTATTCCTTGGATTAACTTGAAATTTTCTGATAATATTTTCGAGCATCATACTTTAAGAAAATACAAAAAAAAAATTGATTTTTTGAAAATCCTGACTACCCTTAATCCCTTAATAACACAATTTCGATTGTGAAAACGTGTCAGGGCCAAAGAATGGTTAGGTTAGGCGGGGGTGGTCACAGGTCTATACAGTGTGATTTTTTTTTATCCTAGGCCACTCAATATCTCACTGGGTTTAATTAATGATTTAATTTTTTTTTCATAGTATTGTGACCTCAATTTTCCACAAATGTTTATGTTCCTACACCCTCCCAAACTAAATTTTTTTATATCAACTTTTGTAACTTAAATGGTAACGCATAAGTTTCATTAACTTTTTAAGTTGAGAATAATGTACTAAAATTGTTTACTGGTCGATAACCATTTTTGAAGTTATTGGAGCTTCAAGTATAGAACTGGAGGAAAGGTGTATTTTTTTTATCTGTAGTCAATTTTTTATTATGGAAAAACAAAAAGTTTATTATAACAATTTAGTTATACAACGTAGTGGTTTTTTTTCTTTAAAAATCTCCTTATCCCGAATATTCTCGAACGATACGACCAAGATAATTGCGACAATATAATTTTATATATTGTCAATAGTTGTCGCGTTAAGTTCAAGTACCATTTGCATAATATAAATATATTTCAATTTAATATATCTATTTGAATGGCACGTATTGTTGTTATCTGCATATTTTTCCTAAAGACTTATCGACCTGCGACCATACCCATAACCTGCGTTTAGATTATAGACCGCCAAGTACTTTCTGGTCGTAAACTTACAATATTGTCGTTCGAGTGTTTGATTTAGTTTTTGTTCTTAAGCTGGAATATACTTGGGCTGATAACAATATTTTTAGATGAGCGTCATCTAATTATCTTGATGTGGGTGCACTCACAAAACCAGTTATTGATAGATGTAGGTAAGCAACTATATGGACTTGTGTTGATTGAAATTTGAAGAAGAAACAAATTTTTTTTGAAACTAAATACACTACAACAGTAAAATATTATGTTAATAAAATACTTGTTATAATAATTTATATAAACGAATATATTTTGTTTATTAGCTAATGTGTACGAAATAGGTATTACAAAGTCAAGGGGACTTAGGAATATAAGAGTGAGGGGGCTATAAGATACTACGATAACTTAAGCTTTATGAAGTTCGCATTTAGCTTTACAAATGTTAGGACACACGGACAGAAGAAATTTATATATAAATAAGATATGTATATCTGTAACACTGTGAATAAGTGTGTAAGTCGAATTTTGGTCAAAATTAACTAAGTCCGCTAGCATGTATGTAGTCCGAGGCGTCTAGCACACCTTGAATAAATGTCTAACTCGTTGGACCAACAAGAAAACCGTGAGAGAGATGTGAGTTATTGGCAGGATTTATGGCAGCTGGTCAAAGTTTAAAATCGCTCCCCTTTAAAATCACTGAAATCGACTTGTACACTATTCACAGTTGTTACAGATATATATTTTTTTTAATAGCAAAAACTATTAAAAGCATTTATTTAGTAAAATAAAATAAGTCCTTTATAATCATAGGACATATAGGATAGTTAGCGTTTGTCTAAACAGTCATTGATTTTAAACGACAGAGCTCAAAACCCGATTATTAGACACACTTACGTCTTATTATTATTATAATATTATTACGTGTAGTGCTCACTGTTATCTTGTTTATTATTGTCAAATTAAAAAAATAAACATATTATCCAATGTCAAGTAAGATAATAATAATAAAAAAAAATTAACGTAACATGATTTTTAAACGATTTTATTTTCATCATCTTCGTAATAAAAATAACAATAAAATATATCTTATACTAATATTTTGTGAAGAGGTGGCTAGTCGTACCGTTTCACGAATTCGTCGAGAGTTAGTCTTAGGATTACTACACACTCTGCTGTAGTTATGTATTATATACAAAAAAATACATGAATAATATCACAATGGCACATTTTGTTTGTCGATAATAATAATTAATGACGCGTTGTAAAAGATAGGAAATGATTCGTATATCCAAAGCACAAACAAAGGTATATAAAAAAAAAACAAATTAACATAAAAAACTCAAAAGATGAGCTGTCATTCGCTTCGGTCAGTGATCGGTTTCGATACGGTAAAATTGTGTTTTTTTCAATAGTTCTGATGCATACGTTGCCGCCTGTAGACAAATGAAAAAAAAAAAAATTAATAATATAAAACAACTGGTGTTCATACTTTTAAAGTGGACATGGGGGACATTAGCCGCCCACCCAAAAAATAGTCCTCCTACGGTCTTCAAGAATATTACATTTCAATTACTGAAAGTGATAAAAAATAAAAACTGTAGATAGCAAAACAATATTAATTACAACTATAAATTATTTTACAGACGGTAAATAACTAAAAGTGCCTTGAGTTTTTGGGTCTTCCTCGATAGAAAAAAAAGTGACTAGGAATATAAAAAGAACATAATACTTTAAATACTTTATTTTTGTAATAAAATATTGAAGAGTACCAACAATCGTTAAGTAGATATCCAAAATATTGTGTGTTTGAAGTTGTGTCCTGTTGATTACATATTGTGTAAGACTTTCCAATTTAAAAACCGATTAAATATTCTTAATTATCTTTTTTATTTTTACTTAAATTTTAACGAATATGGAATCAGAGTTGTTCTAATTGGAATAAAAATTAAGATAAACAATCAAACTATTTTAACATTTAAATGAACAGTAAAAATAAATACATGAAATTTAATTTTTATTTTCTATGCAACTTTACATATATTATATTTATTCAAAAATGTTTGCTAAAAAAATTAATTTTGATAACCGCACTTGCAAATTATTGGAATAATACGTTTAAATAATTCAAATAATTTTCATTTGAACAATGTGTCATCTAGATGGTTATTCAGATAACGATTTATAGAAATAATAACACTCAGCTCTGTGTGGAATAATTTGATAGTGTTTTATATTTACAAAAGAAAACAATTTGTTTATAGTTATTACTGCAAAACTAATTTTTAATGTCATCATGGTACTTTTTTTTCTACCACTCTCTCGCTATTTAATGACTAATGTGTGATAAAACACTTCATTTTCAATAAGTGTTAAAATACTCTTTGTGTTTTAAAAATAAATTTCGGTCAGGAACTATAAAATAAACTATTTTTTTTTTTTTAACCGTTGAAGGTTACACACAAAACAAGTATACATATACATTTTGCTGGTAAAATATAATTCAATTTCATGTGAATAAGTTTTACTGAATTTTCAAATAAAATATGTATGCATATTTTATTTGAAAATTCAGTAAAACTTAAGAAGTTGTTAAAAGTCAAAAGGTACAAAAAATAACATATTACTATATATTACTGTGGCTGATTATAAAAACTGAAGTGAAAAATGAAGTGATGGCGGCAAAAACTCTTGGAGAGTTATGAAGGCCAGAAGAAGAAGAAGAAGAAGATTATAAAAACTAACATAGAAAATATATTTCTCTAACATTTAAAAGTAATCTATAAAAAACAAAAAAACAAAATGTTAATATTAAAAAATTGAAGAGTGGCCGAAGAAGTGAGGTGGCATTGCATTAAATGCTCACTGTCACTTGTTAGACACTCTGTCACATCGAGCACTCTCGCCTCTCTATAAGGAGGAAACTGTCTAGAAAAAGTAGAACTTCCAGAGGCAACTGAACTTGGCCTAGGTTAAGAAAGCCAAACAAGTTATGATAATTTGGTAATCTGCAAGAAGTTTTGGCTGACGTCCAAAACGTTATCTTTTTTAGTTTTTTAAAAATGTATGTTATTTTTGTATTAAAACAAATATTATGTATTTTTATGCGGTTTGTATACCCTTTTTTTATGTTTATTATCTACCGATTAAGAATATATGTATACAATTTTTATGCATGATTTCCTTGTTGACTAAGAAAAAATGACAATACCTGAACAACGTTGGGGCATGGATCATCCATTAAAAATTCAATATCATTTGTTAGAGTTTGATGCCAAGCGTTGGCCAGACTGTTCGGGTTAAGTCTGGTCATATGTAACAGGAGAACACACGTTCTCTCTCTGACTGAAGCGTCTTCGTTGTTTCTAATCAATTTGTGCAGCTCGACATTCGAAATCCTGCCTGAAAAGTCACATTATCGTTTAATAAACGTCTTGTACCTACATTGCCGATAATGATCATGGCTGACAACAACAACTAACAATGACTTTATTACCTTCTAAATTTGTTCCCAGTACAATATCTTGAACTAATCCTATGTTACGCGGCAAGTATATCAATGTTAAAATTAACACGGCCAACGTGTTTGCCACTAGTTGTGTGTTGCCGTGACTCAAAGACAAACACCTTTGCATGTGCGGCACAAGTTTCAAAACAGTTACGCTATCGCAAAATTGTGTTAGACACTCAACGGGTTTGTCCAACGACAACCCTTCGATCAGTAACAGTACAGATTCTAGACTGTCCAACTCTTGTATGCCGATCGTGTCAGGTGGAGCAGGCGATACACAATTACGAATGGACGATTTGAAAGCACTGCAAAACGCTTGCATCAAGCATGGAATTACGTTGGATTCCACATAAATCTAATGATTAAAAAAAAAACGGGATGACACAAAAAGCAAACAATAAAAATGAAGTCAAAAGTTACATTTTACAATAGCTTTATTGTAATTATATTTACTCGAGTTATTGCGTCTTTGTCGTTCTGTTGAACATTAGGAGTAACAAACGGTACGGCTAACAGTGTAACGACATAATGTAACAACTTGGAAGACACGGTGATGCTTTTCAGAGACGATAACACTACTAGTATAAAGCTTTTTTGATTCATGGACGCTAAATTTCCGGACAAAACCTGTAAACGATATCAATCGGTCATAAAGAATCATCTTTGTGTACACAAATTTATCATGAGTAAAGAAAAAATCTAAATATTACATTTTGTTAAACATTATAAACGTTTTAATAATATATTTTAAAAGTGAGCAATACATAAATAAAAATTTAATTCTTAATTTTTAAAAAAAAAGCTTTATCTACCTCTGAAGCACTTTGTCGAAGAAATACAATCCATTCTTCGCTCATAAAATCATTATTGTTGGTGTTATTACTTGTAGAGTTTGTTTTGTTAGAACATATATCCAACTCCGGACACGTTTCCGAGCACCAACTGGATTGACTCGACCTCAAATCTTCCTCGGTTCTACAATATAATATATTTAATACATTTTTTTTCAGAAAGAATTATTGTACACATGTAACTATTATTAAAATTCTATATGTAACTTGTAATTATTATTTACTATATGTTAATATTTACGTGTCGCCTGCAGATGTCAGTGAATTTTCACTGGTTGAAGAATCGTTGGTGTGTAGTTCTTCATTAATTCTCATTGTATGCAACGGCGACACAATATCGTCGAGTTCCGACGATGTGTCATTGTCTCGATTTCGGTCTGTGGTGTACACTCGGTTTCGTACAAATTCGTGATGTAACAGAGTAGGCCATGTGAGCCTTTCCAAAGGATTTTTTTGTAAAAGTTGTTCCAAAAAACTGCGACAGGATGGAGATACTGTTTTGGGCAATAGAATCGGTTGATCTTTCATCATTTGCACTAAGTGCATTAAACATTTTGTATCGAACGGTGGTTTGCCACACAGTAAATGGTAGGCTATGCATCCCAACGACCTAAATGAAAAAAAAATCTCAATCCAAATGCTACTTTTTAAAAGATATTATTAAATAATCCATTGCAAACTGCAAGCCACCAAAGCCGTACCATAAATCGGCATTGTGATTATAGGTAGGAGGTATAACCGGAGAGTTTATCACTTCTGGAGCCATGTACAGAGGAGTTCCTTTGAGTGACGCTTGTGTTAATACTTGTGTACCCGTCAACATTAATCTTGCTAAACCAAAATCACATAATTTCGCAACGTCATTATGGTCTAGTAATATATTTGGCGGTTTTAGATCTCTATAAAAAAAAAAATAATAATATAATAATTAATAACCAGTAGATAGATTATTTTGATAAATCTATACTAATTCACTGAGATTATAATAAAATAGTGTACCTGTGTAAAATGTTGTTCTTATGTAAATAATGAAGAGCCGACACAAGATGACAAATAATCACACGTGTCCTATCTTCACTTAAAATACCTTCAAACTCGATGATTTCTTTGAGCGATCGAGGTACAAACTCCATGACTAATGCAATCTACAATGAAAATGATTGACATTTGCGAGTTTAATAGAACTTTTTTTTTTTTTTAATTCAACAATCACAAATTCTTACCCCGTTTTCATTTCCAAAAGATTCTATCATCCTGACGATGTTGGGATGGTTTAGTTTCTGTTGGATCACGACTTCTTGCTGTAAAGTTTTCCACTCGTCTAGCTTCACGGTGAAAAGTTAACAGTTAGTAGTGTAGAAAAAATGTACGCTCGTCAATTACATACTTTATAAATGAATTTGAACGCAACTATTGTATTGCTTTTCGTGTGTAAAGCTTTGAACACCTTACCAAATGATCCTTCGCCGATTTTGTCCCCCAACTGATAGTTGTGACAATGCGCCCAATAAGCGAGACGTTCGTCAGCCACCATAGTCGGGCGCTTCATTTCGTCGGCCGCACACAGAGATGGCTCTCGTGGCCAATAGTTACCGTTCATCACTCAACGAACAGATAATAAACTCAATAACAAACTAACAACTGCCGACTATCGAGTAACATTTCATTATTTTCGTTCACTGGTGCAAGTTTAATTTTTTTTTTTTTTTCATTGTGCTTAAATAAAACATTTGATGAGTTTTTGTTTGTCAATTCGATTTTGTCGGTTTTGCTTATAAGTATGTCAGTTATACACTTATTGTACTGCTTAAACTAGAAAAACTTAACATTTTTTGTCGCGTTAACCGTGATATGTAATTATTGAAATTTGTATTTCAAAAAACTAAAAAGTAAAAACATATTTAAAAATATTTAGTTGTTGTCTGTTGATATCGACTTTTTGTAACCATTTCCGAACGGTGATAACACGTTTGTTTTGTCGATGACGTGCAAGCTTGCCAACGGGATATTCTCAACCGAGGTAAATTAGGAGTTTTTTGGAGGGCGAAGGAAGGTGGTAATAATTTGCAGTATTCGGGAATACAAATTTAATATTTTGTCTTTTATTCGTATTTTCCGATTTATGTTAAAATTCCGAATTATTTTGCAAAAATAATCGTGGTGCCCACAAACGAAGTTTGAATTTCAAAACGGGTTCGTGGCTGCACTGTTTTCGGGGTGGCTGTTGTGTTTGTGTTTTTTTTCCCCCAGCGTACAGTTTCCGTCCATCCTATCCTATCAGAAAGAATGAAGATATTCCATTTTACTTTAATATGTAATTCTGCTGAAAATCTGAAGTGTTGCAAGTCCGAAACGAGATAGTGATTAGTGAATTGGAATTTGGAAATCCGGTCAGGACTTGGTTAACAATAAATTTTCGGCGTTCATATGATGTGCGCGAATCGTTTTCTCGTCAACTCTTGTTTGACCGCCGTTTAATAAAAACACGCAGTTAACAGTTTTTAAAAATACAGGCAAGTATTTTTGATGTTAAAACTAGAGAGTTCGTAACAGCCAAACGCCGTCGGCCATTGACATTTGCAATAAGATAATAATATTATTATAAAAACAAACAAAAAATATCATGAAGTTTAGAAGAGGAAAGAGACCGCAAAATGGCCAGAACAACAACACCAGGTAGGAAATATTTACCCGGTCGCCGCCTTCTTGTAATCCGGCAGTTATTCATTTTATGTAAATATTAAAACGTTCTAATGTCAGTACTGATTAAAAAAATATAATAATTAATGTTGATCATTTTGGTTTGCGATTATCACTGTTCACGAGCACGTTATCTTCTATGGCAATTTGATATTATTAATATAGTTTAGAAAATGTTTAAAATTCGACTATGACGTTATTGATTACAGCCGTTTTCGAGCCCAACTTTCCGGTCCACGTAATCGATTGCGTTCGATCGCCGCTAACAAAGCCAACAAAGTGAAAAGATTGCGCGAAATCAAGAAACAGCGCGGTACCGGTAAACTGCAAAACAGAAAAGTGCTGGACAAGAGGATGGTCACCAACGATGTAATGGACGCCCGAGTGAAGTTGCTGCATAAAGCGCTGGTCACGCCAACAAAGATAGTTGACGCCAGACAGAAATTGTCAAAACAGAAAGACGCCAGACAAAAAATCGAAGAGCGCCGTTTGCAATCGTCCCACGACGTAAGTGTCCACCATTTTCGTAAAAATGACGATTAACCGTAGAAAATACCACCTTTAAAAAGTATTACATTAATTATTGACAATAGTAATAATACTAATAACTATAAAACAATTTCAAAACAGATTTACGAGTTCAAGTCAGAGTTCAAGTTTATCATTTAAATAATAGTAAAAACACATCAGATAATTAATGTTATGTTAATGTTATTGTGACTAATGTAGTCACAATAACTAACTGTTAGTCATAAGTCTTATCTTATCGATGCAATTATTTTTAATTATAAAAAAAGTATTCTTTTTTATAGCAGTTCTTACGTTTTAATTTTTATTAAAATAAAACCTACTAAAACATTGAAGAACATAAACAACAAATTTTTTTTATCAAACTTTAGGAATTCATTATTAGTATTATTTTTTGTTCACTTCTTAAAAATAGTATTAATTTATACTATCATAAATAAATCATCTATCTATCTAACTAATATCATCAATTTCGCTTACACTCTTTTGTCTTGCAAATGTAGATTTTAATAAAGACTATTTGTTTTAGACTGATGTCTATGACAAGGTGTTATTTCTCACTATTCCTATTATGCTATTTAACGTCTTTAGCAACAATGTATTATCGACTTTCAATAATAAAACTAAATGCATCCAATCTGAGTCTTTTATGTGTAAATTAGGCAAATATTACTCCCAAAGCTCTATCTAAATACGATTAATACATTTTTAAAGAAAATTTTAACTTGAAGTTATGCGAGAGCCATTTTTTATATAATGTTTAGAATAAACTGAAATTTTCTGGTCGCTTAAATGTTTTCAAAGGAAGTTATATTTTGTCTTTCAGCGTTTTAAACATGTACACAAAAGTGATAAAAAAAGGTCTGTAAGTACTTACTAAACAATTATTAGCTTATGACGCTTTGTTAAAGGCGCTGCTGTAAAGTATTAATTTAAAATTCCATTTAAAAATAAGCTGTTGATAAATTGGTACTAATTACAGAGATTGGTTTTTGCACTTGAATTAAGTGTTTAATTTATTAACAAAGAATTTATCAACTATTAATGTTAATTTTTTTTTTTAGAATTTAAGTTAACACAAGTCGTATTAACACTGTTTTATTAATTCAAAGTTTTTTTTTAAACAAATGTTTTCAGGGTACACAAAACGCAGGGACGTCTAGAGGATTTGTTGACAACGGAGGCCGCGTTAAGATTGACCGACGTGGTATTCTAACAGTGAAATCCATTTTGCACGAAAGATCCGGCTTACGGCATGCTGACTTTAGGGGGGATAGACAATACAACGAAAACCATCAAGCTCGTCATGACAGTTTACTCAGGAGACGTAGTAACAACACGTACAATTCCAATTTGAATACGTTCAGAAGTAAGCCTGCCCTTAGTTATTAGGAAATTTGTATGGTTTATTTTTATCTAACTGTTTTTTTATAACTCTAAGGTGACAGACCTGTCGAAGAACCTAGGCCATCGAGACGCAACGCTATAGCTCCGAGGAGACCTGTTTCAAGTACTCGAGGTATGCGAAGAGCACCCGATAGATCAGGCATGAGGTCGGCAAGAATCAATGAAAAGCCTTATGCCAGAGCTGTGGATAACGCCTATGACGATTCTATGGACTGGGAAGAAGACACTCGATATTCACCTGCTCCCGTAAATAAAACAACGACGCAATTTAAATTTTAGACAGTTAAACGGTAAATATCTAATTTGTATGTATTAGGTGCACCGGAGAGGCGTCGGAAATTCTATGGCTGGTCGTGACGAATACCACGAAAGTATGCCCAACCTTCTGGATAGACTTCCAAGGTATAGATTCTGAGTCTAGTACACTCTCGTTAGTGTAGTCATAAAGTTATTCTGTTTTTGGTCACACCACCGCGTCTACTACATAATATTGGCATTTTGGATGTTTATTATGTTAATTAATTTGTTAAATTATTTCCACGTAGGTCTCAAAGAGGGCTGAGTGAAACGTTACGTTCGAGATTAGACTCGCATCAAACTGCACTGACAAAACGAGCCAGACCCAGCGGCCATAAGATTGTCGTATCTAATCTCGAGCCGTCTGTTACGTCCGAGGATATAAGAGTATGTGGAATGTTTTTGTTGTATTGTTTTAAATCTAAGGAAGACTTATCTTTTTTCATTTTTTTTTTTTTTTAGGAGCTGTTTGCCGACATTGGTGATTTACTGGAATCTAGAGTCGTCAGGCCGGGCGTCGCTGAAGTGATATATGAACATCGAGCGGACGCCATTCAGGCGGTAGAAGTCTATCACAACAGACAACTCGACAGTCGGCCCATGAAATGCGAATTGGTCCGCAACAGCAGTTCCAACGTTAATCCGATACATTTGTCCGGGTAAAAATATAACTCAAACATGATAACATTGTTTAACCTAATATGACATTTTTTTATTTTTCCAGAGGAAATCGTAGGATGCCTTCTCGCGCTGCTGACATGTACAATTCTCCGTACGTAACGTACGACATTGATGCCGTGCACACTGCATTGTTCAACAAGTAGTTGTAAATCTCAAATTTGATTTTTTACTAGACATTTGTTTTTTTTCTGCGCGGTCTATTTATGTAATTGATATAAATTCATAATAGTTTAATCTATTATTTTTTTCTTTTTTTTTATTCACTGAAAGAATGAATAATCTAACAAACCGAGTGTTGCTATAACAATACACCAACAATTAAAAATACATAGTTATCAGATGTAATTTCGTTGTTTTTTTTTTCCGTTTGCTATTAATGTTTATTTGTAATTAACCTGTCGTATAATTAATTATGCCGTAATTAAAATCGAAGTTGAGAAATCGCCAATTGTTCATATGTATAATGTTTCGTTGCAAAAAAAAAATGTATTTATTCAAATTTGTTGAAAATAATATGTTTATTGAAAATATACAGTATGTTACGAGTTGTATATAGGTAACAGTAGTTACTTGGGAAAGTAAATCAAATCACAGATAACAGTATAGTCACGACAGGGGGTACAGTGGCTATCATGCTGAAGATGGACTCGAATCTGAAACAACAGCAAAAAACTGAAGACATGGATAAATCTGACAGCTATTATCCACTTAATACTTTAATCCGTTAAAAGCTTTAACACATTCAAAACTGTAAAATTAGCGTTAATTCATTGTGTAGTGAAAAGGCTTATGATTTTTAAGACTAATGGAAAAACGATATCAATTAAGGTATATAAAATAAAATAAAATTGAATAACTTGATTAAAACCAAATCGTTGTAAATTGTTCATACCTTCTTATTGGGTTTATTGTCAATATTTTAATACTTTTTTTTCATGTACACAAGTGTCCCACAGCCTATAATTTTTTTTTAAATTTAACAACTTAAATTTAAAAAAACTCATTCTATTTGAAAATAACACATACTCGCATAATATCTATACATATAAAAAACACACCGTTGGACTTCTAAACGTTTTTTTTTACCAAATTGTCTCAAAAACATTAAAAATGACTATAATTTACAAAGTTATTGTACAGTTTTTTTTTTACAATTACAAACCATTTTCTTCAATTGTATATATGTTAATAATAACGTCGAAAACAAAGAAAGGCTAATTACTTTAATAATAGCTAATTGTAAGTGCTAACAAAATGGTCGTAAATAGACCCTTAGCATTTCCATCAACTCAAGTTCCAATTTCCCATTTTATTCGATTACAATTCTAAAAAAAGTTTTGAACTCCTCGTCGTATTCTGTGTTTTGACGTATCGGCTTTAAGCTGTTATTATTTTCAAAAAATAAAAACTATTTTAGTATGAAAACTAATAATAAGAAAAAGTAGTCGATTCGTTAAAGCACAGACCAGATGATGAGAAATTTTAATTGAGGAATAAATTTGTCTTCAAAATAATTGAGATCGGATAAATGGAACTTGGATTGTTGGAAATAGAAACGTATGTTTTTGTACAAAAACAGAGCCTGTGTGTGTTATAGAGGTTGAAAAAATAAATAAATATAAAAAATATATCTCTTTCCTTTGTGAATATAATGTGTTTATAAATTTTAGCTTGATATTAAGTTTTAGTGAAAAATTGCCTATACAATTGGCCTTAATAAATCAATAATACAAGCGGCACATTTATCACAGTCATCAGGTCCCTTAATTTTCTAGTTTAATAGGTATAATTAATATTATATTTTAATCATTGCTCTTTGGACGTAGTATGTATTAGGGTCTATGCTGAGGACTTTATTAATATAACATTTTACAGGATAAAGATATACATAAAAACCATTGCATGTAATTTCTACATTTTTTTTGTTTTTATAAAAAATTGAATGTATTTTGTTTTATTATTCAAAGAAACAGTCGACAAAAACACTTCTGTGTGCATTTTCACAAATCCTAAACATAATATCTGTTGTGTTGACAAGTGCACACACAAAAACAAAACAAAAAAAACAAAATTTAAGAGCAATAATTGATTATACATTGAAAAGTCTAAAAAGTATTTTGGAAAATGTAGGATGCTATTGAACTTTTAATCCTATTTTAAAAATAATATTTTTAAATTAAACCGTAATAACCATTTTTGATAGTTTTATTTAACAAATACTCTGTTCGAAACTTTTGTAGCTAAAATAATAATTTTATGAAATCTTCTAAAGTAAAATTTTATCACCCTGTTACAATTGATACTTTAGTATAATATTAGTAGCATGATTATTGTTTTCTATATGAATGACTTGAAAATAATTTCCAACAACTATTAACAATAATATTATAATAATATATTTTGTTTTAATGATTATTGTCCCTTGTGGCGATATAAAAAAAACTATTTTTTAGTTTATAAACATAATAATACTAATATGGGTTCAACGGTAAAATACCTAAAATTCCGTGCGCGGTGCGGCTGTTTATAACATGAACAACTGAACAAACATGATACAAAAGGTATTATGTACGTACACGGTACGTGACTTGCCTTTTTATGAATAAATTCGAGCCGCAATAAGATTGTTTCAAAGAAAGTCTTCTATTAGTATTGGAATTTTGTTGCGCAAGTATAGTCGACTTTAACTACAAAAGAAGAGTGCCAGAAAAATGCCACGTTCAAACTTATCATCGTGGTTTGGTCTCGCCTATGCATTACTAATTATTTGCATACTTGCACATGATGTCGAAATGAAATTGATCACATATCATGTAGGTATTTTGGAAACTCGTCAAAATGCTGAGATTGAGAGGGAATATTATGAGGAACAACATTTTATAAACAATTTGGGAGAAGGCTCAATAACAATAACAAAGGATAACGATTATTATATACTACTGCAATGCAGCTATGCTTTATCCGCGTTACAACACTTGCAGCTAATCGAAGAATTCCTGTACGGCTCTGACGACAGATTCAAGTATGTTTCCAACTACGACTACATATTGTTTGATGCCGAAGTCGTTTCAATGTTGGCAACCGTTCATAATTTGCCTTTGCACGAACACTTAAGGGGAATACTATGGACGTTGTGGTTTTACACGGTCAGGGTGCATAGATTATTGGAAGCACCCTCGGAAGGTAGAAAGGTTCAGTTCATGTTCAAAGCTCATCAAGCCATCAAGCGGTCTCTGAGGTTTTTTTTGCATAAGACAAGATTTGAAAACGTGCAACGAAAACTAAAAGACATAGAAACGGAGAAAATCTCAGACGAACACGCCCGGATTGAAGTCTTGTTGGCAAACAAAAAGCGGCTAAACGATCAAATGGCGTTCAACAACCTTTTTGAAGTTCCCACCGCCGGTAAGGAACATATTTCTTTTGAAACCTTAACGAATCTACACAAGTCGAACGAAGTCGGTAGTATCGTTGTGAAATATTATGGCCAAAATTACTGGACTGTCGTGGAAACCAAATTGCGTGAAATGTACGTTAAGGCGATGAGTCTGGACGTTACCCTTAGCTATCAGGTTCTATACCTGTGGCATATTAAAAACAGCATAATGACAATACTCAAAGGAATATTGAATCGATTTGTTAAGAAGTATTTAGATTTCTCAGTGAACCCCAGAGATTCCAGTGACCCGAACAATAGGCCGGACAAAGTCATCATAACAAAGTTAACCGAATATTGCGAGTGTATTGGTAGATCGTCAGAAATGTACGACACTCTAAAAGAGTCCAGAGGCAGTATTTCTTTGAGTGATTTCTACGTTGGCGTCAAGAGGGACATTAAAAAAGAAAAAGATTTTTACCCATTAAGTACCAACATTGAAGACATTTCTGATTTTTATTTTCTACTAAGCAACGAAACTAACATGACTATAATGAAAGAAACAGAAGAGTGGCAAAACATAGACGCTTTTATCGAAAAAGTTAAAACATTATTTTCCGACGTCAGCATGGATGTCATCAAGTCGTTTGATATGTACCCTATTTTGTCCCAATCATTTGAATGTCTGAAAAGAAATGAATACCAATAACACAAAAAGAGTGTAAATCGTTTTAAAGGTATTACATTCATATAGTTGACAAGACAATACCGTTAACCGGTTCAGATTATAACTTTTTATATGATATGTTGTAACTAGTTTGCCATTTTTCCAAGAAAATTGTACTTATTATAAGATATTGATTAATACAGCATTATTTACTACATTTCAAAATTAATATAATTTATGTCAATTGCATTTTAAAATTATGTAGTTATTTATTATTGTATTGATGGTTAATAATCTATTCTACCTTGTTTTCTGTTAATATGTTTTCCTATTCATTATTTTAGATTTCAAATTTACCATGTATTATAAAACATTTTAATAATTAGCAGTTTTTTTTATATTTAATAACCTACCGTTTACATATAATATCTGCCATTAGGCTTTATGCGGACCAGAAATGGCAAATGCAATGGAACACTAAAATGTGTTTGATGCACGATATCATTTTATAAGGAAACCGATATCTTTATCATGTTAGTAAGCTGTATTGACCGGCCAATTTAAATTGAAAGGCAGTGATCGTATATTGATAAAAGCATTGTGCTTAATGACAATAATGTGTTTGAAAATGTACTTTTAGTATTATGATAGATACTAGATCTTATGTCTAGTATTCAGACCTTAAGCTGTAAAACTTCATCTAAAAGAGTGAAATAAATAAAGTCTCCTATTGAAATTTTTTGGGTATCATTCAATCGCATAACTGAACAGGAAATAAGAAATGAACAAATCAAATCAACCTTACCTTTCTCATTAAGGCAAGCAAATGATTATATTATATGCGTACTATCGAATTATTGTTGTATTACTTACAAATCCATTCGGCTGCTTAATCAGTAGGCTAGCTGGCGGTAAAAAAATTAAAAATGCAATTATATAGACCTATTTGTTGTTTCCTTGCCTATGCGTTGGTTCCAAGGCGTACTAAACTGATAGCTAACAAATAGGAAATAGAGTATAAAAAAATCTATTTAAAAAAAAAAAACACAAAACCAATCCAAATATTTTAAAACGATGATGGTTGTATCTTTTTTATTTTTTGTTTATGTACACACACACATAATAGTTCTCATATATTATTAAAGATCATTAAAAACAAAATCAAAACGTTATCAAAATTTCTAAACCTTAAAAAAAATGTAAAATAAACAAAACCCTTTCGATTTGTACACGCGTGACCTTTTTGCAAATTATGAAATATTTTTGTGAAAAAAAAATTAAAAAATAATATGTTAATATTTAAAAAAAAAGTCTTTCCAAACAAAAACTGTCTACGGATACCATGATATTATGTTTTTTTTTTTTTTTTTTTAATCTTGATATAGTGTATTATCAATATTAAACAAAATTACAATAATAATAATAATAATTATGAAAAGGAGAGGAGGATCGGTTTTTGGATGCCATTTCGTTTTAGGAATAAAAAGGATCAAATTCAAAATAACAAAATAATTATTATATAAATATAAATTATTAATCGAATCACATTTTGCTGTTGAAGTACTGCGAATGAGGTCGGCTCATTTTCTTTCTGTCCAGCCTCAGCACTTCGGCGTAGGACTTCTCCAACAGCTTCAGCTTGGCCACTTCTTGCGAGGCGGCGCTGGCGTATGGCGTTGCGGCAGCTTCGCGTTCGGGTGCTACTCGGGCGGGTGACGACGACGGCACGTCGTCCTTGGACGCACACCACGTCGCTCGGTTACCGGAAGCGGACCTCTCCCCACTACCGGCGCGCCTCCCTTGCCTACGGGTCATGTGGTCGGTCCACTTGAACTCCAGCAGATGGCTGATGTCCTTAGACTGTTGTTTGGACGCCGACCGCCGGTGATGGTGGTGACGCTGTTTCTTCTGCTTTGCGGCCGCCAGAGCTAGCTCCTCGATGATGTCGCGCCTGCGAAGCGCCGGTTGTTCGACGGCCGTCTCGGACCGGGTTTCCGACGGTTCCCGTTGGTGCAGCAGCTGTTCCACCTGGTGCGGTTGTTCCTGGTGCTTTTGACGCCGTTCCCGGCGGTGTTCACGAGCGGCGGCCGCCGCTGCCGGCTGTTGTTGTTTCCGTTTGGGTTGTGGCTGTTGTTGTTGTTGTAGTTGTTGGTGATGGCGTTGCGCTTGGGCGACCGCCGACTCGATGGACGAAATCAACGGGTTGGCTTCGCACGCAGGCGTTGCCGGCGGCACTCTTGGCACGCTTTCGTCGACGACGTCGTCGTCGTCATCGTGTTGGACGCCGGACAACAGCGCCGGGTCGTCCTGCAGCAGCGGCAACCTTTCGCCCTCGTCCTTGGCCTCGGCCGCCCGCTTGAGCACGGCGAATATTTCCCGGAACAGCTGTCTGTACTCGGGCGTCTTCCGGAAGCGGCTTTCGATCGGGCTGGCGTCGTCGTAGATGCTGAACCGGCAGTCGTCGCCGTCCGAAATTGTGCACAGGAACGAGCCCGTGAAGAACGTCTCGGTCTGCGTGCCCTTGTTGCTGGTCTCGTCTGAGAAACCGGACGAGGACGTCGTCTCCGTTTCCGAGTACACGTGCTGCTTGCCGGCGGCCGGCGGGTCAGCGGCGGCGTCGTCCTCACTGTCCGTCGCGTTGCCGTTGAACGACGAGAACTGGCCGGACATCTGCAGTTCCTCGTGCAAAGAAATGCCCTGGTCTCTGCTGCCGTTGAACGCGTTGTGTTTCTGTTGGATCTTCAGCAAAGCTTCGTACTTGTCCACCAGAACCCGGTACGGGTTGTCCGCCGAATAGTTTTCTCCCAACGTCTCCTGCAAAACACAATTAACCAGATTAAACGACAGAAACGAGCGTTGCTAAAAATTCAGCCATTTGAGTTAATAAGCTTGATTGCCGTCACTGAGTAATCTGTGATCAAATATTTTTTGTGCGTTTACAAACTGTACATCAAGAGCGAGTAAACCCCCATATTTATTAAGAAGTGAGGTGTAGGCAATTTTTTGCTAAATCTTAATTCAAAGGTTTGGATATGTAATGTGTTAGGACTCTGGGTGACCTACCCCATTTGGTCAAAAGAAGATATACAAACTTTGTCGCAATGGCTTATCGCCAGTTAGTTCAATGTATCTATCTTACGATACGGGTCAGGCTGTCCTTATGTATAATATATTGGTTTTTTTCGGGTTATTGGACGCCTAAGCGATTACGGTATGTCTACTATTGGGCGACTTGCCAACAACTGAATCAGAGGATTCCCCCATAGTGTTTGTTGTTGTTGTTATTACTAGCTAGGTGACTCATCAGCAGTGCAGATGAACTAATTTTTCCGACACCTAATACCGATTTTTATGCGTTATTATGGTTCAGGGCTTTCGGGAGTCGACGTCTACTTTCTCCCCCCCCCCCCCCCAACGACGACTTTAAACTTACTTGTAATTGTTGCAAGACTTCGTTTTTGTGGGTCTCCACGTACGATCCTATGGCACTTATGTCGTCGGTGTCGTCGTCGTCGTCGTACACTGAGTACTCGTCCAACAGATTGGCGTCGGCGCTGCGTTGACACCGCCTGCATAGATTTCCTTGCCTGCAAGTAACCAATGGTCGGTCGTTAAGAATAGGTCGACGACCACGTTCCCCCCCCCCCTTCCACGTACCTGATCTCTTCCAAGTAAACGATTTGATCCTGAAGGACTTTGAGCTCTTCGTCCTTCTGTTGCATCGCGCTGACTCTTTCCTCCAAGTTGGTGTTTTCCTAAAAACCAAACGGCCTGATGGTAAGGATCGGTAAACATTTCTCCCCGAAAACCCCCCCGCATACCTGTATTAGCATGGATACGTTTTGTTCGAGTTCAGTGACTTTGCGCTGTTCCTTGGCCCTCTGACTCTTGGCGTGCTCCAGCTGCGTGGTGAGCTTGGCCAAGTCATCCTGATGATTGTCGTCGATGAGATCAGCCGAGGAAGACCCGCCGGCACTGCTTTCGCTGACCAGACTGTCGTCCTTTTTCGAATGACCCATGTCGTCGACCAGATGCTGCAGATCCTCGCAACGGCTCTCCAAGCTCTCGATGGTCTCGTACAGACTACAACAATGCATGTGAGCGTGTTAAAGACATTCACGGATTGAATTATGAGTTTGAGATCATTTTCGGATCTATTCGTGTTATCATTATAGTTAGCTGACGTTCGTCGCCACAGTGACTATGTCTCTGACGATGGACTTTGAACCGTCTGCTAACTAATGACAACACGGGTGGATGCCAAAATGAAGCCTTACCTCTTTATGTGTTTCTTGTCCGTCAAATTCTCCTGGACCAGCCTTTGGTTGTTGCGCTCCAAGTCCTGGATGCTGATCTCCAGCTGCTCGTAGATGCGCAATCTGGAGTCGTTCACTTCTCTCAGGGCGGCCGTCTGCTTGGTCAGGTACTGCCAACAAAACAAACAGTCGGTCACCACCAGTTCGTACAGGTCGACGCCCACGGCTTGTTCGTTGGCCTTTTGGAAGTTTGGCCATTCCGACAGACTATTACAGCTGTTCATGGTGGATGATATAGTGGTGCAAACTACACTACACGAAGGGTATACTGCGACTGTGGCCCGCCGACCTCTAGCCGAAAGGTCTCTGGCTGAGCACCGCGTGTGCATACCGCCATAGCGGTATCCCTTTGGAACGTGGCCAGCGGAATCAATGTGTGTGTGTGTCTATTATAAAAGTAATGCCTACTCCCGCCGGCAACGCGAACGCATACACGAGTACACGCCGATGACGAAAAGCGTTAATATTATAACTACTATTATGGAACACCACACACAACGGGATTTATGTCGTTAGAGAAGAGTCTCCGAAAAAGTGGAACGACGGTCTATAATATAGACTCTATATTATATATTGTATAGGTTAACGACGTTGGTATTGTGAATGCAGAACAGGCGCAGATTTCTAAAAAAACGACCGAATTTGTTTTATAATATTTTTCTAAAACAAACGGTACGGTAACGATACGTGCAACGTAGCCGGCATATGAACTCTAAGAGATTATTGTCGGGTAGAATTTCGTTTTTTTTTTTTGTTGTTTCTAAGTAGACGTGTATTACACATACACTTTGTTTGTACATGTGCGTGCAGACGACGTGTTCGGCTTATGGCAACTACGAAAATAGTAATAATATAATAATAATAATAATCTTACCTCGATCTCTTGGTTGCGGTCGTCGACGAGGTTTTGCTGTTGCCTCAGGCTGGTCTCCAACTCTTTGTTTCTCTCCAACAAAGTTTTTCCCAGCTCCGCGGCCAATTGCAAATCTGCAACAACCATAACGATATGCAAGATATTAAATGAATCGGGCAAGTGAGTGGGCAATACTGGCAACGGTACGTAGCCGTTTTATAATGATTTTTTATTGGATTAACATTAAAAAAATGATTCAGCAAACGATCCGTTCGTGTCTTAACCGTATTGAGTCTGAACGTGATCAAGTCATACACATAAACTATCTGTGTGTTCCTTAAAGACGGTAGAAATCGGATAGAGCTTTTTTGTGATTTAAATGGGTTTTGCCTGAAGCACACGTGTTTTGCGGTGTCCGAACCATATATATATATATATATACACACATTAAACACATATAGGGGACGTTACATAAACCGCACACGTCTAATAGTCGTTAAAGAAAGCCATCTGGAAACATCTGGTACAGTTGTTATTAATCGGTTAGCGGATAATATGGTTCGTATACTTATATTAAATATATCGCAACACGATCGACGGCATTTGTGTCTAGAAGTAATAAAATAAACGCCGTTCGTTCATAGCGAAGTACCACCATTGTCGGATTTGGTTAGAACAATGATTCGCATGTAAAAGTTAAATCACATTCGACTTTAACACAATCAGTTAACTCATGACCGTACTCAGACTTAACCCCATAACTTATTTAGTAAATATTGTAAATTTCAAGAGCAATCTTTTTTTTAAGTATAATTTTTATGGAAACTATTGCATATTTCATAAGTCTGGTCTTCAAATGTTTATTATGAAGCCGCGACGCAACCACGTCAAGTAACAACCGTGATGATATAATTATTGTAATTTGTAAGAACAAAAATCATAACCCGACGAATTTTAATATCATCCACTAATTATCGCAATACCACAACAAACTATTAATACTTTTAAGTTTCGAAACCAAGGCCACCCGGACCTCAATTCGGATTACCATTGGTGAAGGACTTCGTTGTGTGACCGTTCTTATTTTACACACCCATCAGGTATTTGGCAACAGACACCGAATGTTTCACTCTATCTCTTTATGTGTACTCTTTTCTAGACGTGTGATCTATCGAATGCCAATAGTGTTGAAAAAAAATATTCTGCAAACGGTTAAAAACAGAATGGACTGCGATGAGCTCGAACTCCGCCGGTACGGTTCATTGTCTAAATTAAAATACACATCAAACTCACTCGTTTTATCTACAAAATATAAACGCTTATTTTGTAAAAAAAATATATTATTGTACTCAGCAATTATCCGTAAAAAAAAATGAAGAATTTTTTTTTTAGTCGGCTGGCTATAGCTGTTTTTGCACTCACAAATTTGTGTACAGAATACCTAAAGAGACATTCGCGCGAACGTGGTAATCACATACCGTGAGTGTAGTATTTCCCACGGTATAATAATAGTAATAATATGTACCTAGCCGGTTTACTAATAACCCGGTAGTATGCACAATTATTTTAACGCGATATGGGTTAAACGGTTAGGTTGTCCTTTTTTTCTCTCTTAATTCAACCTCATTTGTTCCTGATCGAGAGCTTCTTGTTTTTAAACGGGAATTTCCCAAAAACAAATGAATTGGCTCCTTTATTTGACATAATAATTGTAATGCTGATGAAAAAGCTCAGCAAAAGTACGGCCTAAATTTAGTACACTATCAATATATAGTCATTTCATTCCTTTCTATCGACTCATTGATAGTAAAAATCAGCTAGGCTGACCGAACACCCGACACATTTTACAATTGAAACAGATCAATTATCAAGAACCTAAGAATCTAGACGGGTGACAGTATAATATATCTTCATCCCACTGTTTTTTGCGGCATTTGAGTTTAAAAAAATATACATAAATCAAAATACCTTGTGGCCCTCTAAGGCATTCCAGTTCGATAGTGTAATCCCAGCAGTCCAGCGAGGCCAATTCCGACGAGTGGCCGGCGTTGTGATGTCTGTCCATATCGTCTATCGGGCGACGGTATTTTATATAGTAGTATATCGTTTTTTAAAAAATCATTTCTCGGCTGGACCTCGTGCCAACGCCCCACAGCAAGTCCTAATGGGACACAAACGTTTAAGGGTATGCGCTAAACAGAGACCAAGAAGGTCGAAGGAGTGTACCTAATAATGTTAATAACAAAATATGACCGTTTCAATAGAGCACCACCGTCGGGGTTGAGATTGTGTACCTACTTGTGATATTGAGTTTCCAACGAGCCCACACAGACACGTCATTGTTCGGGCCGGGGACAGGAGAAAAATAAGAAGAATAACAACAGGCCCAAGGACCTTCTTCGGACGTGTTTTATTATTGCCCGAGCACAACTATAATAGTAATAATTATATTATTGTCGTGTCCGCCGTGAAAAGAATGTCGTCTCGGGGGAAAGAAATCGTTTTCGAAAACAAAAATACATCAACGGCCTTGACTTACACAAGCGGAAGAAGAAAATTAACCTTATCTCAATGTACACGATTTCGGGTTAGGGCAGAGGATATTTTTTTTAACTTCTCATAAAGCAACTACTCGGATCGTTGTGGAAAGGACAGGCGGTGCGTGTGATCGGACATGGACCGAGAATATTACATCCCAAACGGCTTTCCTACGTCTAGTATAATATATTTAGCTCCTAACATAACTGTTTGTGCATAAAATAATATTTTATGTTATGATATGTTGTGGAGAGACGCCACACGATGAGTTCGAACGACAAATCAAGACGATGACGAGCAAAAAATATATATAAAAATTATACATTATATTTTATAATAGGCGTCCGTTGTTTTTAATTAATTTTAAAAAACGTGTCTTCCAATCTCGGATTAAAGTAATTTTAATTTAAAGTGAAAACCGCCCGTTTCAAAGTGCATATATTTTATAATATATATGGCCATATTGTATGGGTCTCTCCGTCATACATACAATAATGTAATATTTCTTCTATTTATTATTATATTAAGTGTATAATATAGAAAGCTTGAGAGTGTCGGCAAAATTGTGTGGATCCCCGTTAGTCCCCCAGGGGCTGAGAGTTAAGCGCACGTGCCTAGGAGCAATCTTGTAGAAAAAAATACTTAAAAACTTCTCTTCAAACGAGTCAAGCATCAGGTATCGAATGTATAAAATACAATATTTCCTACGTTGGCAGATTTTTTGTAACAATTGAATGTATAACCAGTAAACTGTTAACCGAATTTTGTTCCAACACACAGCCATAACAGCTGACCTGTTTTGCCTATAGAGCTATAGAGTTTGCAAATTTAGGTTGCACTTAAAAACCAGTATCATAAAATGTCATTGGATAATGTAATGAAATTAGTTTTTTTTTTTAAATTTAAATCATGTTTTCTGTACAAGATTGCGGCTAGATTGCTCGTCAAACGTGTCTATTTCATAAACGGCGGTGACTTACGATTTTTTTTTACCAAGATTTGGATACTTTGACTGAGGCAAGAATCCAATAAAAAACTAAAAAAATCCGAAAACCGAAAATAGATTTTAAAATTCAAGACTGTCGCGACAACACCAGCTGTTTGACGCGGGCGCGCGCGCTTTTTTACATGTCACACGACACACTGACGCGGTTGGAACGCGTGACAGACGACGCGGCCGAACGGGACAACGACGGGAACGCACTGCGGCCGCGGCGCGGCGCGTCACACGGCACAGGTGCGCGGGATCCAAAAAACGGCCTGTGACTGCGGCGACGGTAAACCGGTTGTTGTACCCCACACGCCGCGTATGGGAATTCCTTCGGACGCATTCCGCACGGTGCGCGGCTGCGGCGGCGGCATAATATTATAGCGCTCTGCACGTGACACGCCGCTCCCCATAACTGCAATCGTGTAATAGTTATGCACATACACGCATGTGTCCCGCCCACGCACACAATAGCACGGCAGAGCCCATTAATTAACACAATACTACCAATATGTGATCATAACAAGTCTAGGTGAAAATTTCCAGAGGAATACTCAAGTATATTTTTAAAAAATAAGTAAAATAAGGTTCCAAATTAAAAGGACGTCATATCCCTTATTTATTAAAGAGTTGGTAAGGATTTTTTGCAAAACCTTAATTTAAATTATGTGTTTTGTGATGCTTTTGATTAGTTGAGTAATAAATACTCTTTTTTTTGGTAGCCATTTTTTTTCGGACTATCACAGCATCCTTCTCTGCGTTTTAAACAATTTTTTTCATTTAAGCACGTTTATGTAAAACCGAAAAGATACCTTTTAAAGGCATTTTAGAATTAATTAATATAGGAAACATGATTTCGGAGGGAACCTCTTATGCCATTTTACACTATTTACATAGGTCAGTATGATGAATGTAAAAATACATTTTTTTTAAACTGTTGTAACTTTCTTCTGATTGATATTTTCAAAAACCTAAATAAGGTTGCTGCGGAAATCTCCTCCTCTATCGTTTATATTATAGGTTGTTTTATCTCTAAAAAATCGTTTCGAAAGGTACTTTAATCGGTTTCATGTAAACATGTTTTTACCATTGAAAATCATCGATGAAACGTCCTCTTAAGGTCATTGTAAGCAGTCAGTTTTGCGTTTTAATATTCACATTTTTTTAATTTTATTCCAAAAAAATGTTGGAATTTTTTTTTTAATGAAAATATGGTTCTAGCATAACTCAGTAAAGGTGCCAACAAATTCTGATCTTAGTACAGGACTGAAATTCGACGGGCCAAAGTGTCACAATTTTGTCAAAGCGAAAGCATATTTTTACCATCGAGATAGCTTTCACTCATAAAAAAAAATAACTTGAAGCTTGACATGGTCTAAATTTATTTAGACCACTTTTTTTATTAAATACCTATTGCCTAAAAAAATATTCTTAAAAAAACCGACAGTTTTCAGTACCCTTAATACATAAATTAATAGCAATAATATTATACAAAGTCAAAATATTAATTTGAAAAATATTTTATATTGTCACCATGCTAATTTGTAAATCGTGTAAAGCTATTATATAAATTAAGGCACGAAATAACGACAAAAAAATATATTTTAA